ACCTAAAAGTCACAATATTACAGCAAAAAGACTTCAAAAACAGACTCCAACAAGAGACTGCTGAATTGGAATTAATTGGCAAACTGGATACAATTAACTTAGGCTTGAATAGAGACTGGAAGTGGATGGGTCATTACACGAAGTAAAACTATTTCCCCATGTTTATTTCCCACCCCCACACACACACCCCACTGTTCCTCAGACGTTCTTGGCAACTGCTGGAAATGGCCCACCTTGATTATCACTACAAAAGGTTTTCTTCCCCCCACCCCCCTTCCCCTGCTCTCCTGCTGGGAAGATAAAGATAAAAGATAAAAGCTTATCTTAAGCGATCACTCTCGTTATAGTGTGTATGGTAACACCCATTGTTTCATGTTCTCTGTGTATATAAATCTCCCCACTGTATTTTCCACTGAATGCATCCGATGAAGTGAGCTGTAGCTCACGAAAGCTTATGCTCAAATAAATGTTAGTCTCTAAGGTGCCACAAGTCCTCCTGTTCTTTTTGCGAATACAGACTAACACGGCCTACTCTGATACTTCTCTCTCGTTATTCCATTCTGTTCCCATTTCAGCATTGCTCTGTCACGGAGCCAGGTCTGTGTGCAGTTCTGTGGTTCACAGCACCCTCTTGTGGCTCCTTCCATACATCCACAGGGTGACAGCATCCGAACTGGCCAGGGAATCACTGTTTCTAGGGGAGGGGTGTGGACTTACAGATTTTCCTGCATTTGCAGTGACACAACACAGAGGTGCACTCGGCTGGGAAGGCCACATGGAATTTTATTTTGGGGGCTTATGGGCTCATTGTGGTTTGCCCTTAAGACAGGAGCACAAAGATTGGAGGTTACAAGGAGAGGTCCAACCCATTCTGTGCTCCCGCCTAGTTCTGTTCCATCTCCTTGCCTGACTGCAGCAGCAATAAAAGACAGCAAAGGCTTCATTTACACAGTTCTTTCCTTCAGCCTGGCAGGACCAGAGTTAGTGGAAATACCAGGCTGTCTCGAGAATAGTTTCCCAGGGTGAGACCTCAGCTGGGGTGAGCCTGAGAGGGATGACAGGAGACCAATCTGCATTCTCCCTTTGTAGGCTCTTACAGTGTCTCCATCACCATAACATCTGAGCACATCAGGAGGACCCTAGCAAAGCTGCTGTACAACAAAGGACCAAAAAGAAGTTGAGGCAGTTAGCTTCAAGACAGAGGAAGGCAGGCCTGGGGGTTAAGGCACAGGGCTGGAGCGCCGAAGATTTAGATTCAGCTTCTGACTGCCCCAGACACCCTGCGTGAACTACTTTCTCTCTCAGAGCCTCACTTCTCCATCCAGCAAACAGGCATGAGGATTCCTTTCTCCTCCCCACGCCGGCTGTCTTGTCTGGTTAGGTTAGATGTCACGCAGAGACTCTCACTCTGTGTTTGTAGAGCAGCTAGCGCCATGGGGCCCCAGTTTCATTAGGAGCCTGTAGGTGCTAGAGTAATAGACGTACTAAGTTCCCAGGGTGTGAAGGTGCAGGGACCGGGAATAAGGGAGTCTGATTTAGAATCATAGAATCATAGAATATAAGGGTTGGAAGGGACCCCAGAAGGTCATCTAGTCCAACCCCCTGCTCAAAGCAGGACCAATTCCCAGTTAAATCATCCCAGCCAGGGCTTTGTCAAGCCTGACCTTAAAAACCTCTAAGGAAGGAGATTCTACCACCTCCCTAGGTAACGCATTCCAGTGTTTCACCACCCTCATAGTGAAAAAGTTTTTCCTAATATCCAATCTAAACCTCCCCCACTGTAACTTGAGACCATTACTCCTCGTTCTGTCATCTGATACCATTGAGAACAGTCTAGAGCCATCCTCTTTGGAACCCCCTTTCAGGTAGTTGAAAACAGCTATCAAATCCCCCCTCATTCTTCTCTTCTGCAGGCTAAACAATCCCAGCTCCCTCAGCCTCTCCTCATAACTCATATGTTCCAGACCCCTAATCATTTTTGTTGCCCTTCGCTGGACTCTCTCCAATTTATCCACATCCTTCTTGAAGTGTGGGGCCCAAAACTGGACACAGTACTCCAGATGAGGCCTCACCAATGTCGAATAGAGGGGAACGATCACGTCCCTCGATCTGCTCGCTATGCCCCTACTTATACATCCCAAAATGCCATTGGCCTTCTTGGCAACAAGGGCACACTGCTGACTCATATCCAGCTTCTCGTCCACTGTCACCCCTAGGTCCTTTTCCGCAGAACTGCTGCCTAGCCATTCGGTCCCTAGTCTGTAGCTGTGCATTGGGTTCTTCCGTCCTAAGTGCAGGACCCTGCACTTATCCTTATTGAACCTCATCAGATTTCTTTTGGCCCAATCCTCCAATTTGTCTAGGTCCTTCTGTATCCTATCCCTCCCCTCCAGTGTATCTACCACTCCTCCCAGTTTAGTATCATCCGCAAATTTGCTGAGAGTGCAATCCACACCATCCTCCAGATCATTTATGAAGATATTGAACAAAACCGGCCCCAGGACCGACCCTTGGGGCACTCCACTTGATACCGGCTGCCAACTAGACATGGAGCCATTGATCACTACCCGTTGAGCCCGACAATCTAGCCAGCTTTCTACCCACCTTGTAGTGCATTCATCCAGCCCATACTTCCTTAACTTAATTTTAATAGGGTGAAGACAAAGCTCCTGTCCAAGCTAACTGGGACAGGATTCGGAAGGCCTTTTGGCTCAGTCTGGGCCTGGCTTCTAGGGAGACAGACATAGTTCCCACTCCACCACAAGGGAATGATGTGGTGCGCATGGCTGTGCAGAGGTGTAAAAAGTGACCCATTTTCACCTCCCACGTGAAAACTGGTCGTGTCACAAGTGTTTGAAAATTGTCCACAGAGTAGATCCAGGGTGAAATATGACCTTTCCTACCAGCAAATGCAGCTTTTCATAGGGAATTTCAGCTCCAGGGAGAGGCCGGACTAATCCTGAGTTTATATTAATTTGATGGAAATTGACAAGATATTAAACATTTGGGGTCAGAGACCTCTCCATTTGCCCTGAAAAAGAAGGTCTCTGATCTGCAAGCGTGCAATGGGGTCACTAGGAGGCATATACACATCTCTACAACATCTCTGCTCACCACTTCTACTCTAATGGGTCTGTGCAGCCCCGCATGCTAAATGTCCACGATGGGAAGGGAGAGTGACTTTAACTAGGATGGCAATGATAAAAACAACAAACAAGTGAGATGAACTGCATCTTCTTATGTTAAGGAGCTGAAGTTGGGGTCATCGGGGCTGCATCAGCCGGAAAGATGGCTCTGCCACCTCCAGGGGCCTGGTATATTTTTCAAATCCTATTAACCTCATTGTGTTATAGGCCAGATCCAACCCTGGCATACAGTTCCAGTAACTTCAATGGAGGGATGAATTTGGCCCACTGAGATTCAACAGAAAGCAAAAACATGCAAGTCCTGTTAAAGAAGCATGTCATTTCTGTGCCGCAGAGAGAGCGAATGGGCAGTGTTAACAGATTGTGTTTCCCTAGGGGGTTTTCTCGGAGACCGGTAACACAGGGGGATAGGTAAGTATCCTTTGCTGTGGCTTGGGAAAACTGTCAAGCTGCAGAGACACACACACTAACCATCCTACCTGCCTACAATTTCCAGGATGCCCAGCGTCTACAAGCAGGGACATTATAGGCTTAGCAGCACTCGGGCATTAGCTAGTTCAGAGCAGTGGGATGGCAGTCCACACAGCCTGTGTACCTTGATTGTGCAAGTACAGTGACATTATAGGATCCTTTGGGGGCTCCAACTCCTGGAATGCTTAGTTTGTAAACATGCAGGGTGCAGATGGCCCAGCCTGCACGGTAAGAGCCATTGGTATATAAGCAGTCGGAATGAAACTTATCCCACCCACAGGTCATTACAGGGAGGGTGTAGGCTAAAGCACTCGCTGGTGGGCAGAGGTTCCTTTGTATCACAAAACAGCTTGCGCTAAGCAGGGTTGATGCCCAGGCTCACCGTTGAAGGCCGTGTGGTCCCAGATGAGGAGCTTGGGTTGGGGGATTTCCCAGCTGAAGCTCAGGTGCTGAGGCAGAACAGGGAATGGCGTTTTCAGCAGCAAGATTCCAAGAGAAGCAGGGGCCCTACACAGCTGCTTCTCGTGGGCAGAGCAGAGGTGAGGTTGCTGCAAGAGGGAGTTGCCTGGCTGCAGTTGTGACCAAGGAAACAGCTAGTAAATAAATAGTTACACCAAGAATACACGAGGGGTGAAATCTGAGCCCCAGTGAAGTCAACAGGTGTTTTGCCGTAGACCTCAAGGGGGCCAACATTTCATCCCCTGACTCTGGGTCACCCATTCCTCCTCCAAATGGATCTGCAAAGCCCTGACACCTATTGCTGCTTGGCAAAGGGGAATATCATGTAGAAAAATACATGGCTCTGCTAACACCCTATGAGTTACCCACTGTAAACAAAAGGCAGGTAGTTGAGTCTTGCCACAGCTTTGTGTCTTTAGAACAAGTGACCCTGGCACATCCAGTCATGATTAGAGAGCAGAGAGAGACATTTTTGCACATAAAGGAACAGGTGCTGTCAGCCCCAAGCACACTGCTAATGTCACCCTAGGCTTCTGGAGCTCAAGTAAAATTAAAGCGGCCGCTGTACCCAGCAGTTTGGGAACAGAATGCCTAGCAAAACGCCATTCTCCAGGACAGCATGACCTAGGAAAACGCCTCCAGGAAAATTGCTCTTCAACCTCATGAACCAAGTACTAAATACACACAACAAGAGTGTTTCTGCCTATTGAGTAAAATGTTCATACAGGAAAACATAGCCTGGTAAGGTAGGGAATAGGTTTTTCCTATCCCCACCATCTTCTGCCAACAGCTCCTGTTCAGGGTTATAGTGAGTCTGACCTACAGGGTTACGCGGAACCAGAAGACATTCCATTTGCAGACAGATAGGGCTTGGGCTGGATTTCTTCCCATCAGGTTTTAGTCTCTTGAACATATGGACTCAGACACTGGAAAAGAAGTATTTACATAACATAGTGAGTGTGTTACAAAAGCAGATACCAAAATTACATTAATGAGCATCTGGTTTATGGTTCAGTTTCTCTCGTGCGGTTTAGAAGGACCAGCATTCCCATCAGATAACAAAAGGGCATCCTCCTCACCACCCCATTAAAAAAGGGAGAAGAAGAAGAAGAGAAGATCTCTGACTACATCAATGCTTATGCACCCCCACCTAGGCCATGCCGGGGCCCAGGAGTCCTCACTGACTCCCATGTACAAGGCGCTGAGTTACTGGAGTCCTGATCTCTAAGGCCAGAAAGAGGACAGCAGGCTCCCTGCAGGAGCTTGAAGGAAATGTTAGCGGCAGCAGAGGTCAGTCTCATGCTTTTACTGATCTCTGAGGTCTTGGATAAAGGCAGCAAGGAGAGAGATACACCTGAGTGAGAGCTACTGGAGTCACCTGTCTCCTCTCTACTCAGTTCCCAGCCATCCAAAGCCGGCAGCAGCACCTCTAGGGGTTCGAGATAAGTCTCGTACAAGGCGTTGGGAGCAATGCATTCCTGGAAATACCATCTCAGCACCATGCAGGACACAGCCAGAGCTGACATCTGTGGCCCTCACTCCTGCCCTTTGGATTTAGCTTCTTCTTCTTCCTCCAGGGGGCTGTCTGAACTGTCCGAGAAGAATTCGTCCTGGTTGTACTGCTTTACCCTGGACTCCAAGACAGTGATGCGCTGTTTGAGCTTCAGCTGGGCAGCATTGTACTCAGTCAGGAGCCGGGAAAAACGGGTGTGCAGCGTGTCCAGGTGGGACTCCAGCCTCTCCAGCTTCTGCTCTGTGTCCTTCCCTTCCGTGCTCTCTGCGGCCGCAGACTCATCCAGAAGCCCTTCCTTGATCAGGATCTCCCGGCCACGCTCCTCCAGGACCCGCTTGGCATCAGGGTACTCGGTCACTGCTTCCATCAAGTCGTCCTTCGACAGGCAGAAGAGATCGGCGTAGCCAAGGCTTCGGATGTTGGCCGTGCGCCGGTTGCCCATTTTGCTCCCTTTGATGTTGAGAATGCTGATCTCGCCAAAGCAGCTTCCCGCGGTGAGTAAAGCGTACTGGGTCACACCATCGTCTGCCACCACCGCCAGCTTCCCTTCCTTGATGATGTACATCTCCTTGCCGATGTCCCCCTTCCGGCAAATGTAATCTCCTGGACTGAAAACCTGTGGTCGAAGTTTCAGCACTAGCTCCACCAGCAGACCAGCCTCACAGTCCTGGAAGATCCTCACCTTCTTCAAAGTCTCCAGGTGGACGTTGATGGCAATCTCCGCCCTCAGCTTGTCAGGGAGGTTCTTGAGGACCTCACGCTCATCCACAGCCTTCTTGTTGGTCCACAGGTAGTCGAACCACTTGATAACTTTGGTCTCCATGTGCCTGCTGACCTTGCGGAACTGCATGTAGTGCTTGATGGCATCTATCTTGGCCTGGAACTCTGCCCTGGTGGCATTCATGTTGGAGATCATGGAGCCCACATTCCCCACAATGGTGGCAAAGATGAGGACACCGATGAGGAAGTCGACAATGACGAAGAGGTACTCCTCGTCGCGCTCAGGGGGCGGGGTCTCCCCAATGGTGGTCAGGGTCAGAGTGGACCAGTAGAGGCAGTAGACATATTCTCTGGCAAGATAGCCATACTCAGGGTCGGTGATATTGGGGTACACCCAGGTGTCCGTCCCAAACCCAATGGCCTTGGAGATGGCATAGTAAATACAGGCGTTCCAATGGATGATGATCAGGATGTAGAGAACCAGGTTGCTGATCCTGAAGATATTTGGGTAGCTGGTTCTGGTCTCAGTCCGGTCAAAGAACTCAAACATGCGGGAGAAGTGCAGCAGCCGGTTGAAGCGTAGTTCAGGCTGATGTAATCCCACTGCAAGGTAGGCCAGGTCTGTTGGCAGGATGGAGAGGACGTCCAGTTTGAATTGTAAGGTGGTGATGTAGTTATCCCGTAGCTTCTTCGGGTCCCTGACCAGCAGACCCTGTTCCAAAAAACCTACCAGAGAACAAGGGGAAGAATTATCCTGGCTCAGATATGTTCGTTCTCCTGGCTTTGGGGTTGCATTCAACCAACATACACATATAGTAATTAAAGTATTTCTAATTCCGCCTGATCTGCTCGGTCTACAAGCCTTTGCCAGCCCTCAAGCACTTCATCTGGAAAAAGTCACATAAAGGTATTACTTAGGGATTTACTCTGATGACACAGAGATAGGAGGACACACATTCACTGCATGTAGTGAATTAGATCAGAGCTCTTCAGTGACAGACAGAAATTGTAAAGCAGCCAGCTACGTTCTGGGAACATTAAATTCTACTGTTTTTCCATTTAGATTACTCTTTAACTTAACAGATACCAAACCAGAGACATAGACCTAAAGCTGTGCCCAAATACTAATGGTCATGTGGGTAATTCATAGGTGAAGTTAAAAGCTGTGGATGATGAATTTTTCATTTTGAAACTTAGAATCTCATTAAAAGCTCTGTAAAACAGACTTTCTCCACAGGCCGTTTCCTGCCTGCTAACACCAAGGTATGGATTAAGCCAGTGGCTCTCAACCTTTCCAGACTACTGTACCCCTTTCAGGAGTCTGATTTGTCTTGTGTACCCCCAACTTCATCTCACTTAAAAACTACTTGCTTACAAAAATCAGACAGACATCAAAATACAAGAGTGTCACAGCACACTAGTACTGAACAATTGCTTACGGTCTTATTTTTACCATAGAATTATAAAATACATCAATTGGAATATAAATATTGTACTTACATTTCAGTGCATAGAGCAGTATAAACAAGTCATTGTCTATATGAAATTTTAGTTTGCACTGACTTCACTAGTGCTTTGTAGGTAGCCTGTTGTAAAACTAGGCAAATATCTAGATGAGTTGATGTATCTCCTGGAAGACCTCTGAGTACCCCCAAGGGTACATGTATCCCTGGTTGAGAACCACTGGATTAAGCCACTCTTCTGAAAGCAGCCCCAGATCAGGCCAGCCCCTCAAAGCTTATATCAGATCTCAGGTGATAACATTAAAACAAACCCTTCCCAGACTAGGCAGCCTCTTCGCTCACCTGTGCGCAGTCGAATGACAATATCGGCAATGTAGATACAGTCCGAGACATAGTCTAGCACCAGCCAATGGATCCAGTAGTCCCTCTGGAGGTCACTGAAACAGGCCCTGCAGGAGAAGCACATGGTAGTTATCAAGATACCAAAACCAACTCAACCCCATCACCTATACTGAACAAAGGTCGATACTGGGTTCCTACAGGCTGTGGTGTCCCAGTGGGCACCAGGGCTGATAGCTGACAAGTTCCTGCCATCCCCTCACTCCTCAGAAATTAAGTCCATCACGTCTGCCCTCCACTAAGCTAAGCAGGGATGCTACTGAAACTTCCTCCCACACACAACAGCATAATGCCGCTCTGCCACCCCACGCTCGGTTGTGACTAGCCCAGCACATGCAGCTAGCCTAGATGGAAATGGCTCTGCCTTTCCAGAGCCATGACAACAGAAAAATGGGGATTTTTTGCCATTGATGCAACAAGGTCAGGCACGTCCACGTTTTTGCCTGTGTGCCCCCTCATGGCCAGGGTGGGTCTGCCTCAGTTTCCCTCCTTGGACTCCTCAGATATTCCCAAGATATTCACAAGTCCAACAGCAGCCTTTTTGGGGTCTGACTTATTAGCATAAAGTTCAAAAATAAACCACAAAAGTCTTTTACCTTGGCCTTATGCCAGGGACAGCCCCACCTCTCTGAGGTACCGTCTCTCACTGCTCTCAGAGACGCTGGACAAGTTGCAAGGCTTGGGCTTCTTTCTTTCTTTGCCTTCTCCCCAAAAGGAAAGCAAAACTTCTAACCAGGGCTTTCTACCCAGCTGCAACTCCCTCCCAGAGGGATCACTGCAGGAGACACTCTTCCTTCAACTTCACTCTTCAGTCACTGCACCCCAGCTGTCTACTGGCCACTGCTTCCCACCCCCCACACCTCCAATTTAGACACATAACCACCTCTCACATGATCTAATTCATCCTCTCTGCCTAGGGAGGCAAATCAGCTATATCACAGGTGGGCCGAGCCCTCCTTCCCTTTGAAGGGGCCAGCTACCCTGTGACAAGCAGCCTCAGAAACAAACAATGCAAGACATAAACCAGTTTTCAGCTGGCTGATGCTGGTCTTAGAGATGGCATCTAAGGTGGTGGAAGGGTTACAGAACAGAGTCACCCTGGAATGCTCCCTACTCACCTTGCCACAAGCAAGCACCAGTTATAAAGGACGGGCACTGCAATGACAAGCAGCCAGCGGTAATACCAGTCTCCAGCAGGATCCACCACAAACAGCTCCCATTTCTTCCTGAAAATAGAAACCAAGGCAACTAGAGCATCAGAGACTGCATGTGGTTAACGGTACAAGCAGCATCAATTACAGCTTGGTTTAATTATCATATAGAGCACTGAGCCCCTTCCATCTAAAGAGCACTAAGCACCTGCCAAGGTTTATCAGTTAACCATCCCCCACCCAACACCCCTTTGCAGTAGGTAAAAAATGAGCTCATTCAATTTACAGATGGGGAAACTGAGGCACAGAGCAGCTAAGTGACTTGCCCAAGGTCACCCAGCTCATCAGTGGCAGAATCAGGAATAGACCCAAGGTCTTGGATCTCCAAGCTGCTGTTGCCATCACTAGACAACATGCTCTCTCATATAGAATCCTGGGACAGTATGTGTCAGTATAATAGATACAGCTCAGAGATAGTTTATAACTCTAGTATTGATTCGGGCAGAGTGAAATGCATGTCGATGCAGTTTAGGGGCATACAAGGCGCAAACTAAGGAAGGAAAGGGATTGCTGTGGCAGCTAGTACTATAGAATTGCCATTTCAGCTCTGCTCTATGCTGCCTGCAGTCTGCTTACTGAGTCACTGGGTCCAGCCTTTGAACTGTTCCCAAGCGTCTGATCCTGCTTATCTAGGGACGGAGCAGATGCACCAGATGCGTGTGCTGCAATTGCTAGATTTCACTGGAGGAGAGAGGGGACAGAAACTCTGCTTCTGAACGGATAGGCTTGTCTCTCTTTCACTCTGTGCCAAGACAACAAAACTCCCCTCAGCCTTTGAGTTTACAAAAATCCCTCCCCGAGATAGAAAATGACTCATTTGCCAACAAATTTCACCCTTTTCCATTTGGCAATTGCCAGTTCCCTCACGCTCCAGTGCTGCTTCTGCCATCTTCAAAACCAACATCTTCTGGCCTTTCGTTTATGCCCCTGGTTTTGCACAGCACAGGCGTCATCAGCAGGAACGCACCGGGCTTTGGGAACGACGCATTTGGCAAAGCCTGGAGAGCAGGTTCTCACACGGTTTTGGTAGGGCCACAACAACAGTGGTTGCTCAACGTGACTCTAAAAATGGGTCACATGTTTTCAGAGAAACGGACTGCCTTCTACTGTGTCTGCACATCACATAGCTGATCTCAGAGGCAGCATCTAGGCCACCAGCTCTCAAACTTGGGTCATGATCCCAAATGAGGCTGTGCCATCAGCAGATGGGGTTGCGCTGATCCCTGGTGTGGATATAGGTGCTGGAACTAGGAGTGCTGCCAAGTGGTTTCCATCATACACAGGATTTACAGTTGGTTCAATGGCTCTCAGCACCCCCATTACACAAAATTGTTCCAGCGCCCCTCAGTGTGGAGGACACAATTTTGCTCCGCACATCGCATATGGCGCCTGCAGGGTCACGATGTATGGAGGACGCCATTTTGCTCTAGGAACCCCTGATGGTCATCACGGATCAGTCAGCCCCAAGGGGAAAAAATTGCATTAGGGTGCCAAAATGCTGCGTCCCAACATCGCATTAATGACCGTGTCACAACAGGTATTGGCTTGGTCTCCGTCCTCCATCTCTGCTCAGTGAGATATTTTTCCCTAGAGAACGATGGCAGTGGAAACCCCCACCCTTAGTCATACCTGTGTGCACCAGGGGGCCAGGGAACCCATCCTGAAATTTGTGAGACCATCCCGAATTTACACACCCTCAAATGGAGCAATGGCCCCACATAACCTCAAGCTGACAAACATTTAACCACCACCATCTTTGCCATCCAGTCGCATAACATTACGGTGACATTTCGTTGCACCACAATGAGCAGATGCAGACAGATTTTGCCTGCAAGCCAAACCTCAGCAAGGTTGCAGCCCCGTGTCCAGAGCTTATTCCTGCTAAAGACCCTCATTGTACCCCTCAGAATATACACCAATTCCATCTCTCTGTATTCGAGTTCTGAGCCTATTTGCCTCTGATAATTAACAAGATACTCTTAACCTCGCAGGGGCAGAACATTTTCTTCTGTGGCTATTAAAGTCTCAGATACAAGCCTCTGATATTTTTCTCCTGCAGAAAACAATCATTTCTCAGTGTTCTAATTACCATTTATAATGGAGGGGTCCAAACTAGTCAATGAGCTTTGCCCTTTAATTAGAGAGAGGAAGGAAAGCCAGGTTACTGTTTTTCACTATGTGAGTGTGTGTAGAGCAGATGAAAGGACTGGATTTGAAAGAGCCTTTTAGAGAACTTTTTTCAGAGTAGCAGCAGCGTTAGTCTGTATCCGCAAAAAAAACCAGGAGTACCTGTGGCACCCTCACAATGTATGTTCTGGCAGAAGGCTTGGGCAAGGAACACACTCCCCTTCCTTTCCTGCAGATGATGAAAGGAGGCTTGCAAATACAGCATCAGCCGGGTGACTCACTCACTTTGTCAAAATCCCCCGGGACTTCCTCCTGGAAGGAGCTACTGCTGGTGAGAGGTAGCTTGGCCTAATAGCTGCAATATGGGTTGGGGAGCTGGGAGACTAGAGTCCATTTCTAACTCTGCTTCAGACTTCCGATTTGAGCTTAAACACTCAAAACCAGGGGCTCTCAACCAGGGAATCACGAACAGCCACACTGCCTTCCCATACTGCGACATGGATAAGGGGTCATGGCTAGATCGGAGGGGGATCCTGGTATAGAAAAGGGGGCCACCATATAGAAAAGACAGCAAACCAGTGCTATAAGCCTTAGCTTCGCCCTTCTATAAAACGGGGACCCTACTACACACAGACCTTTATAAAGTGTTTTGAGACCCTGTGATCAAAGGCACTATGGATGTGCCAGCTATGAGCACCGTGGCAGATATAAGTGATTAGTGTCAGGGCCTAGAACAGAATCAGGGATGGCATGTGAGCCTAGACAGCGAGTAAAGGGTACGCACCAACTACAGATGCAGGTGCCCATGTCTGGGCAATGGATCGGGGACAATTTGTGTACACTGCCCCTACCAGGACCCAGCACCAGCTTCCAGACAGTAAACACACTGATACCAAACTGTTCAGAAACAGAGTTAACTGAGCTGGGTCTGGTCCTCTGACATAGCACAGCATGGTGACCCCAGTCACCTCTAGTTCATGTGACCATCCTGCTTATATCAGGGCACACAATCAAATCACTTAGCCCCCTTCACCGTGGGAGAGAGGAGCCCAGAGGGTGGGGGGAGGAGGTCTACCACAGACAAGAAACATTTCCCTTTCTGCCAAGACGTTTTAGAGAAGAAACTCTACTTTTTGCGTTTGCTGCCGTCCTTTTCCTGGTCCCCTTGGACGTTGCCATCTCCTTCAGTCACTGTCTGGAGCTCCGGCCCGTGGAACCGCTCGAGAAATGAGTCTGGCCTTTGCTCCTCCTCCCGCAAGCTTTTGTTAGCCCAGTCTCTAAGCACCACGACCAGCCGGACTATCCTGGCCAGGGAGAGAAGAAGCCAGAGTCAGGAGTCTGTGCAGTGACAGAAAATCACACATTCCCTGCTGGGACATTGTTCAGAGGCACCGCTGTGTGGTCCCAAATGCAGCTGCATGGGTGCTGGTAGACTGTGCACACCTAAGCCAAATGCCCATTCTAAACCCTGGAATACAGCAGGAGCACCCTCCAGCCCCCTGTGCTCACTGTCTCGGCATTCTAGCCCTCCACACAGCTGGACACGCTTATTGCATGCCAGGTGAACCTGTGCAGAAACCAGCGAGTCTGAACTCAAGATCTTCAGCCCCTGTAAAACAAAAGGGATCCGGTGTGGTGCCGAATGTCCCAGGCTCCCACTGAATGTAGCGAGACAGGAGGGAGCTCAGCTCAGCACAGGAGTAGGCCCTAAGCCAGGAAAATGTCACCTCTTCAGGGGGTGAATGAAAAGGCCACAGTTGTAAAAGAGCCCACTTTGCCCAGTGTGGCTGGAAAAGGATTTGCCAGAGGTGACAGGTTAATACTTCACTTTGTAAGCACAGAGCAGCTGGGCCCGAACACGCTGGTCATTTGGAGCCCCACACATCCCCAGCAAAGGCAGTGGTGGTTGAACAGTACTCAGTGCTCATCCCTTCATCCCACGCCTGGCTACATCCTACAAGCACAAGTACCTTGACAGAGCTCCTCTCCCTTGGATGGTAGAGTGGTCTGGCTGATCCGCATTGTCCAAGGCAGCCACCCCCTGAAGCTCTGATGAGTCATCACCTGCAGACAGGGCTCTGCAGAAGAGAAAAAGAGATTGGGGTGACTGCTTGCTCAGTGTCCACCACCAGTTACATTAGATGAACTAGACCCTGAGGGAAGAAGAGAAGAGACCTGACATCAAGATTTTGCCCTCCCGCTTCCCAGTCCTCTTCTCCTTGACCTGTGTGACTGCCTAGGGTCCCCATGTTCATTCAGACCTGGACTTCCCCCTCACCCACCTGTGCTAGAACAAAGCAAGGAGGGATCCTCCTTATTTCAATCCTTGGTTTCCTCCACTCAGCCAGGAGAGGTTGTTCATGGTAATATCATCTCCTCGGTGTACCCCTCCAAGCATGTGAGCCCACTTGGCTTTCTGTGGAGAATAGGGTGCGTGTCCAGGAGGAGCTGGAGTAAAGTGACCAGGCTACTTGCACAGTGAGGTCTGGATTTCCCTTTGGATATGCACTGATTTCACCATCCCCTGCGGTATGTGTTCACTGCTAAAGCCCTGATTCTGAGAGGGAAGATGGTCCAATGATTAGCATGCTAGCGTGTGATTCAGGAGACAGGAGTTCAAGTCCTTGCTTCTCCAGAGACAGCATGTGTGATCTTGGGTAAGTCACTTAGCCTTCTGTGCCTCAGTTCCCATCTGTACAATAGGGATAACCGCACTGCCCTGCCTCACATACGTCTGCGAGGGTAAATACATTAATGATTATGAAGTGCTCAGATACTAGCGTATTATTGTTACTCTTCCTCCCTGGCTCTACAGAGCACAGAAGTCCTTGGCTGCTCTCACAGTTTGCCCCCACCTCTCTCCATCTTCCACTAGGTCAGCCACCAGGCTGCACACCTCAAAGACAGCCTTCCAGGACACCCTCAGCCGGCCTGCCTTCCAGCATCCTAGCCACGTGCCCTGCCCACTGAAGTCATTGGGGCTTCTTCACTACATTTACTATTCTTGGTCCATAGACCTCCCGCAGTTCCCTATTAGATCTTCTGCATATATCAGTCTCCCTTACTAGCCCCAAAATTCATCTCAACACTTCATTTTCAAAAGGTAGTTAGCATCTTTCTTCCTTCTTAGTCAGTGCCTGGTGCTCACGTCCATATAAAACTATCAGCCTTGTGCATCTAAAGCTTGGGCTTTCTCAGTAGTAGTTTGGAGCTGAACATTCCCTGTGGAGCAAAGTAACAGGTATTCCCACTCTGTAACTGGGCCTTACTTTCTTCTCTCACCTAACTGTCCTTGGGCATCAGTGCGCAGAGGTATTGAAACTGTCTAATTTTTTACTATTTCAATGGTGGCATATAAGCATCTAAGACAGATAGCACCTTCAGTGTTATTGACTACAGTAGGAGAGGTTGGGATTCCCCAAAGCTCCAATACATTTTAAGTAGGTGGTGTCTGCACCCTTTTCTAACAAAGGGCACATTCTGTGGGCATTGCCAGACCCACACACAGCCTTCCTGGAATCTGCCCAATGCCTCAGCCAGGGCTGCAACTCCAAATCTAAGCATCCCTCAGGCTCCTACCTGGATTCTTCCTGCAGGACCCACCTCTCTCTGGCCTGAGAGAAAGCAACTCGGCCTTTATCTTCTGGAGCAGCATTAAGAAGACACCATCTGGTCTGCCTGCCAGGCTGAGCCAGCAGAATAGCTCTGCTCCCCCTTCAAAACTGGATGTCCAGGAGACGCCTTCACACACACACTTTCCCCATATCGACTAGAGGTTCCCTATACCACTCTGGTTGCTTTCAGTTTAAGTTCCCCTGGAGCTGGGTTGTGCTGTCCAGATCCCTCTATTATGCCTTGCCTGAGAGGCCAAGTACCCCCTCCCCTGAAGGACTCTGAGGTCCACCTGTCCTTTCACCCCTACTAATAGGCTCCCCTTCTCTAGCAAACCGTTCCTGTTCCAAACTGAAGAGCAGCCTGACCTGCTGGGAGTGAGCTCGGGCCGCTCCGGATCATCTTCAGTACTAGTTGTGATGGACAACTGTGGGGGGCAGCTGGCAGGCGAATTCTTCAGACCATTACTCTGTCCCTTCATCCTCCATGTGAGAAAGCTGCCGGCATGAACCCTGCCCCAGGAAGCAGGAAAGAGCAGAAAATAACTAAGATCTGAAAAATGTATGGCACACGTGTCACACCCCATGCAGGGCTGTCCCCCACCCCCTGTACGCAGCACTTGTGAAGTCTTCTGCTGTTGGAAGAGGATGCATCCAAGAACAAAGGATTTGCTGACCCAGATCATACTAAAAGGGCGTTCCCCATTCTGCCTCCAGCAGTGGCCTCTACTGGAGGAAGATGAAAATTACCCACCATGCATTTCATCTAGGGTTGCCAGGTGTCCGGTTTTCGACTGGAATGCCCTGTCAAAAAGGGACACTGGCAGGCCATTAGAAGTCCAGTTGGCGGTGCAGTGGGGGGCCCAGGGCTAAGACAGGTTCCCTGCCTACCCTAGCTCCGCGCGGCTCCTGGAAGCAGCTGCTGGGTCCTTGCGGCCCCTAAGCGCATGGCCGGCCAGGGAGGCTCCGTGTGCTGCCCCCGCCCCAGTGCCAGCTCTGCAGCTCCCATTGGCCAGGAACCACGACCAGTGGGAGCTGCAGGGGTGGCACCTGCAGGCACAAGGGCTGCGTGCGGAGCCTCCCTGACCACCCACACACCTAGGGGCTGCAGGGACCTGTCGGTCGCTTCCTGGGAGCCGTGGTAAGTGCCCCCAAACTCCAAACCCTCTGCCCCATCCCAGAGTCCCCTCATGCATCCAAACTCCCTACATGCATCCTGCATCCCACACACCTCAACATTCCAACCTCTTGCCCCAGCCCTGAGCCCCCTCCTGCACCCCAAACCCCTCATCCCTGGCCCCACCTCATAGCCCGCATCCCCAGCCGGAGCCCTTACCCACTCCCTGCACCCTAACCCCCGGCCTGGAGCCCTCTCCCACAACCTGAATCCCTCATTTCTGGCCCCACCCAGAGCCCACACCCCCAGCCCAGAGCGCATACCCCCTGCATCCCAACCCCCTGCCCCAGCCTGGAGCCCTCTCCTGCACCCCAAACCACTCATTCCCAGCCCGACCCCAGAGCCCGCACCCCCAGCTGGAGCCCTCCCCCCCCTCAACTCCCTGCCCCAGCCCAGTGAAAGTGAGTGAGGGTGGGGGGGGGAAGAGGGAGCGATGGAGGGAGCGGGGATGGAGTGAGCAGGGGCAGGGCCTCAGAGAAGGGGCGGAGCAGGGGTGTTCAGTTTTGTGCCATTTGCAACCCTAATTTCATCATCAAAGGCGGCAATCACAAACCATGGTTTTGTGACTAAATCTCGCCATGTATTATCCACATGCAGGTTTAGGGTTAACCCACAGGGCTGGAAACAAGAGCCTGGGTTCTCGACTCCCTGAGGGGCTGTCAAATTATTCAATCTTTGTGCTTGACAGTCTCCTCATCCGTAGTCCAGCAAAAACCACACTTACTAGCCTGTCTCATGGGACATGGCTGGGAGCAGGTCTTCTGACTATCTTTTAAAAGCACATGCCTCTCCTGACGAGGGTGTAAGTGTGTATGCGTACAGAGGCAGAGGAAAAATTGTCTCCTCTCTCTCTCCTCTGTGCTGATCTTTCCCTATTTCTCCCTATTTTTCTCTTCCTTAAGCTCTGCCTCTCTCTCTTCCTCCCTTCCCTCATCCCCTCTTGCTCCACTCGGCTTCTTCCATGCCTCCCTGCCTTCCCCAGCCTCCCTCCCTCATGGCCCTCCATTGTGCCGTGCAAGCGGAAAGATGCTCTCGCACTAGCTCTAATCTTTGCACCGTTACCAGGGTGACGGCATCAACATCAAGCACTGCTCTAACAACAGGTGCCAGCTGCTCCAGGGGCTGCAACCTCAGCAAGGTAATGAGGCCCCCCCAGAGGGAGCGTGCAGGGAGGAGCAGCTCCTTCAACCCCCCACCCCCTTGTGAATACTCAATAGTTATGGAAGCAGAAGACTCCAGGCAGTGAAGAAAGTCAAAGCTACCCTGTCACCGAGGTGCTGCTGAAGGCCTGTCGTACAGCCAGGGCTGGCAGCGCCTGGTACCTATTTGCTTACAAAAAAGAGACCTGACCCGCAGGGCAGCACAACAGCCCGGAAGTTTGCCCAGCAAGCCACGAGCCCCATCTCCGCTGCGTTTGAAATTAAGGCTAGTCATTAAAATGGGCCTTTCTGAGCCTCTGATGGGCAGCCGTCACTGCCCTGCTCCAGATAGCAGTGGGGAAACCATAAGTGATACATGAACAATGCTGCGGAGTTGTTAGAGCAGGAGGTCTCCAGGTTTATCATGATGTGCACTACATCTTAGTAGAGAGACTGCCTCTCCCCCCCCACCCACCCCACCCCGCCAATCACGACTCCGGAACTTCCTTGTGGCAACCAGGGCACCAGGATTCTTTTAATACAATTTAGCAGCTGGAAACCAGGAAGAGATTCAGCCCTGCTCTCCCCATCAAGTACCCCATAGACCAGCTCTGTATTAGACAGTAGCAGCTTCTTTTATTTCTAGGGGGAGGAGGGAAGATTTTATACTCCCCCAGAATAATCTCCAATTCACTTTTATAATGCACCCAGGGCTAAGCGTTGTTACGCCCGACAAACTGTGCAGAGTGGAACTATCTGCCCATGATACAGAAGCAAAAACGGGTCTTAAGATGCACAGGGTGAATGAACCATTCCAGAGAACTCATATTCAAGTGGGTCCAAGCCCCCCCCTCCCTTACATTATAATACCCTTTGAATCAATGATGGCTCAAGGATTGTGTAGCTGGACAGAACTCACTGTGTTGTTTACCAGTCCTTAAATAAACCTCTGACTGGCACAGAATCTCAGATCCCCCAGAATAAAAACTCTGCATGTTCTCAAATGAACTGAGGAACAGCCCCAGGTGGACCCTGCCCTATCTCAGGTAGCATGGAGGCAGGAGATGCAGGAGCTAAGGGTTGTGACCATGCCAGGCAGCTTTGATCTCCTTTGGTACCCAGCAAGTTATGACATCGTCCCCCAGACTCGGGAGATACAGCTCAGTTGAACTAGCCCAGCTCAGAATGGGGCAGCTGCTCCAATTTAAGCAGATGCTTAGAAGTAGCATCTGAGCTGGCTCTGCCGTTTCATCTTTTCCAGGTCCTGCAGCACACGGTTGAAGTCTTCGTGCATCATGCCCCTCCCCAACACACCTGAGTCCTGACTGGGGCGGTCACCTCAGCAGAGGAGAAGAAGGGAGGTTGGTTTCCAGGCCCCACTCTCTGCTGAGACTGCCTCTGAAGGGGCCAGCTAGTGCCAATTCTGGTTGCTTCGGTGTGAACACTTGTCCCTTAGGAATGGAACCGAGAACACAAAAAACTCTCATTGCAGAGGCCACGGAACAGAGAAAGTAACGTTGAGGGGGAGTGGGGTGCAAACTGGTTTGCAAGTGCTAACCTCCTGCTCCCAGTGCCAGTGTCTCCCAGCATTATTTCCCAGTCAATGTTACTGTGCCCATTTCACACTGACCCAGGAGCTCTAGGATCCATGCTCTCTTCTGCCAATAGAGACCCAGCTTTGGTGCTCAGGCTCTTCCCTTCCAAGGCAGCAGGCCTGGAGCAGTAAGTCAGCAGAGTGAGTCAGTCCTGAGAAGGAGGAAACTCCTCACCCCACTCCACAAAAGGCATCCTGACTGAGTCAGGACCCCTCCCCACAAGGGCGTAGCAGGGAGTCCCCCCAGCCAGCCCTCAAAGAAGGAGAAGAATCTCATCATAATGGAGAGCTCCTCTCTCCTGTGAGCACAAAATGGGGAGGGGTTTATTTCTGGAGGATTGTGAATTCATCCCTGTACTTCTCAAAACAGGGTCCTGGACTCAGTCACCTGCTATGTGCTACAGAATCCACAGACCATTTTGCAGCTCATCTGGGCACGCGGGTATCTGTTGCAATTAAGGCTGTCCATTAATCTCAGTTAACTCACACGATTAACTCAAAAAAATTAATTGTGATTAAAAAAATTAAGCACAATTAATCGTACTTATAACACTAGAATACCACTTGAAATTTATTAAATATTTTGGATGTTTTTCTACATTTTCAATATTAATTTCAATTACAGCACAGAATACAAAGTGCACAGTGCTCACTTTATATTATTATTTTGATTACAAATATGTGCACTATAAAAATGATAAACAAAAGAAATAGTATTTTTCAATTCACCTCATACAAGTACTGAAGTGCAATCTCTTTATCGTGAAAGTGTAATTTACAAATGCAGATTTTTTTTGGTTACATAACTGCACTCAAAAACAAAACAGTGTAAAACTTTAGAGCCTACAAGTCCACTCAGTACTACTTCTTGTTCAGCCAATCACTAAGACAAACAAGTTTGTTTACATTGATGGGAGATACTTCTGCCTGCTTCTTATTTACAATGTCACCTAAAAGTGAGAACAGGTGTTTGCATGGCACTTCTGTAGCCGGTGTTGCAAAGTATTTACATGCCAGATATGCTAAACATTCATATGCCCTTACGTGCTTCAGCTACCATTCCAGAGGACATGCTTCCATGCAGATGATGCTCATTAAAAAAGAATGTGTCAATTAAATTTGTGACTGTACTGTATGTCACCTGTTCTGTTTTATCCACAGTCTACCATATATTTCATGTTATAGCAGTCTCAGAATATGACCCAGCACATGTTCGTTTTAAGACCACTTTCACAATAGTTTTGACAAAATGCAAAGAAGGTACCGATGTGAGATTTCTAAAAATAGCTACAGCACTCAACCCAAGGTTTAAGAATCTGAAGTGCCATCCAAAAATCTAAGAGGAACGGGGTGTGAAGCAAGCTTTTAGAAGTTTTAAAAGAGCAACACTCTGATGCGGAAACTACAGAACCCGAACCACCAAAAAAGAAAATCAGCCTTCAGCTGTTGGCATCTGACTCAGATGATGAAGATGAACATGCATCAGTCCACACTGCTTTGGATCATTATCAAGCAGAAACCATCATCAGCATGGAAGCATGTCCTCTGGAATGGTGGTTAAAGCATGAAGTGACACAGGAATCTTTAGCGCATCTGGCACATA